CGTGGTCCTCTCAGCGCTGCAGATTCAGTATTTTTCAGAAAAAAAACCTCTGAGCCATTCCTGTCCAGACAGAGCACTCCTCTGAAGGTCTGCTATTCCCACCAGAAAAACCAAGGTGTCTTTTTTTTGGACACTCTCAGTATTTGTGGCTAACTGTTCCCGTGGAGTAGCGCCACACAGAAGCCCTAACATTGAATATTCAGGTTTTTGGACTGCGAGACGTCCCTCTTTATTTGTACGGGATGTACAAGGTCAGCTCCATCACGCCTTGCAGTGCCTACCTGGACACGGGACTGGTGGGGGCCAGCGAAGCAATGCTAAACGGGGCTCCTGGGGCGTACTTCAAGCCCTGATATTACATCAGCGCGGCTTACAGCAAGCTGCTGAACTACTTTGACACATTTTGCTTTCTCTTAAGTAGAAGTAGAGATTGCACTTCTCTTTATTGAGTTTAAAGATGTAGAAGCCTGGAAATGCAGATGCATTTCCATGCTACTTTCATCTCGGATCAACAAGTACAAGTTGGATGGATCAACAAGTACAAGTTGGATACTTATGCTCTGAATTACACCACACTTTCTAAGAGTCCAAACTGATTATTTTGTGCTGGACAGAGATAGGCATGTTACTAAATCACTTTTCACAGAGAGAGAATTTCCCATCCGATCACACCGTGGCACGGAGCGCTGGCACAGAACGTCTTCAAAGCACTGCACGGCCACTAATAATCACCGACGACGCTGAAAGGTATCGTTGGTATTTTGTTGATGGGAAGAGAAGACAAGACAAGAGACAATTCTTTACTGTGAGGGTGGTGAGACACTGGCACAGGTTGCCCAGAGAGGTGGTGGACGCCCCATCCCTGGAAACATTCCAGGTCAGGTTGGACGGGGCTCTGAGCAACCTGATCTAGTTGAAGATGTCCCTGCCCACGGCAGGGGGTTGGACTAGACGACCTTTAAAGTCCCTTCCAACCCAAACCATTCTACGACTCTACGATAAGAGGTTAGATTTAGGTTTATACAAAGGTCGTGGACTGCCAGGAGCAGCAGCTCAGGCTCAGTCCTACAACCTGGGGACGTATCTCCTTGATTCAGGATATCGGGGGAAATTCTGTCTCAACAGGAGAGAAAAAACATGACGCGTGCTCTAAGAAGTTGCCATCAGCACAGGGAGGAGAGTAGGTCCATCTCGCTTCAGCCTTGAGACTGGACGGACCGGAGAGGCAAATTTCACCTTGCTTCTTTGGCCAAGTTTGCCAGCTCCTCTCTTCTGAAATAATCATATGAAGAAGATCCTCTCCACACCCGTTCTTCGCTCGATGTCCAGCATCCTATTTCTTGTCTCTAAAAACGTGGACCTCCAAAATCAGGCGTGCAAATCTTTGGGAACTGCTGGATCCAAGGCATTTGGTGCTCCCCAGCAATTATTTCTGTGCTCCAGAAGCAGGTCTGAAAAGACCCTGATAGATAGAAACGCGTGGCAGAACCAAGGGATCTGAAGAGATGCTGGGAAAGCATAATATACATATTCTGGTCTGTTGACTTCTTCAATTACTGGCATTTTCGATGGGAAATTATTCCTCAAAAAGAAGAAAAAAGCTGCTCTCGTGTCTGGGCTCAGATTCGTAGCTTGGGGGTGGATTTTTTGACATTCACAATTCTTTTTAAAGGTGACAGTGAGGAAGTGAGCAGGTGTAGACTGGAAGGGACAAAGAACCCACCTCAAACAAGCTGATATTGGCAAACAAACAATACAGATACACGCCTGCCTTCCACCTTTGATTACTTTTTGTTTAATTTAGATCATAAGCTTCAGGGCTCAAAATCTGTCGGGAAGCATGATGAAAACAGCACATTTGACAGCTGTAAATTATTCCGCTCGCCTAGTTCAGGATTCTCTGTTTTCCCTAGAAACAAGGGCAGAATAAACCAGCAAAGTACGGAGTTGGGCTACCTGAGGTTTTGTGTTCCTACAGTAAGGACATCACCGAAAAATCTAATTTTTGTTCTCAAACAGAAGCCTCGCCTAGATAAGAAAAATCACACCAACCAAAGCTGTGAATTTAATTGAATGTGGTAAAATGGATGCAACCCCTTTTCAGAACATGCTGATTTTGAGTCATTTTTTACCGGCTAGATTAAATGAGTTTGGTCCCGTACTTCGGCCACAACAACCCCACGCAGTGCTACAGGCTTGGGGAAGAGGGGCTGGAAAGCTGCCTGTCGGAAAAGGACCTGGGGGTGCTGGTCGACAGCCGGCTGAACATGAGCCGGCAGTGTGCCCAGGCGGCCAAGAAGGCCAATGGCATCCTGGCCTGTATCAGCAATAGTGTGGCCAGCAGGAGCAGGGAAGTGATCGTGCCCCTGTACTCAGCCCTGGTGAGGCCGCACCTCGAATACTGTGTTCAGTTTTGGGCCCCTCACTCCAAGAAGGACGTCGAGGGGCTGGAGCGTGTCCAGAGAAGGGCAACGAGGCTGGTGAGGGGTCTGGAGAACAAGTCTTATGAGGAGCGGCTGAGGGAACTGGGGTTGTTCAGCCTGGAGAAGAGGAGGCTGAGGGGAGACCTCATCGCTCTCTACAACTCCCTGAAAGGAGGTTGTAGCGAGGTGGGGGTCGGTCTCTTCTCCCAAGGAACAAGCGACAGGACGAGAGGAAACGGCCTCAAGTTGTGCCAGGGGGGGTTTAGATTGGACGGGGGGAAAAATGTCTTTACTGAAAGAGTGGTGAAACATTGGAACAGGCTGCCCAGGGAGGTGGTGGAGTCACCATCCCTGGAGGTGTTTAAAAGACGAGTAGATGAGGTGCTGAGGGAGATGGTTTAGTGGACATGGTGGTGTTGGGTCGACGGTTGGACTCAATGACCTTAGAGGTCTTTTCCAACCTTAATGATTCTATGATTCTATGATTCTATGGTTTAAACTGTAGCAAGCTACTCTGGAAGCAAACTAAGCACCCGATAAACTTTGCACTAACGCAGCTTTGCTTATTTAGAAAACAGTTAAACAAAACCTCGCTTGGTAGGCAAGATCCACATGCGGAAGTCATTTAACCTGCCTTCTCCCTGACTTTACACCTGTGAGACTGAGATAAGTTGATTTCCCGCATTGCGCAGTTCATCGTAAAGCGCTTTGAAGGTAAGTGCTGTGGTAGCACCAAGCCTTAACTGCTAAGTTAGGTCTAAATTCAGGAGGAAAACACAGACCAGCACTAAACCCTCTTCCTTCTCTCTAGATGAGAGCTACCCATGCTTCAACACACGCCAAGCGTTTTGCGCAGTCGGCCCCGTCTCACCATGTTGGGCTGCCATCCTTCGACGTTGACGCAGCGATCGATGCACCACCAGAAGTCGTCTTCGGATTCTCCCTTCCAGGCGAAGACGGGGAACCCTGGCACAGAGAGGGAGACGGATGCTAACACAGCCTTAGCAAATCCCTTGGGGATCGGCTCTCCCTACATCCACGTGTGATGAACCAGACTCCCGACACCACTGCAGTCTTGCTTGCTGTCTGATTTTGCAACATCTACCTTACAGAAGAAGCTTCAGAGATATACGTTGAAGACACACACTGAAGGCAGCAGATAGGAGTCAGCTTTAGCCTTCCTAATTTCTTCCTCTCCCCCAAGAAAAAGCTCTAGCCACCAGACGAGAGGGCAACACGCTCTCAACGATAACATTTATTTGCAAAATCAAGCTTTTGCTGCGAGTTAAATGTCCTACCTTCCTGTTAGGCACGTTAGCCACAAATTTACTTGAACGTATTCTGACTCATGAGCAATTATTATTCAGCTTCAGTGAGCAAGACCAGGTAACAGGCAAGCTGGTGGGTTTGGCTTCTTCTGGGTCTCCCAGCTCTCATGGTAAAATCCCTGGCCTTACCCAGGTAAAACAGGATTTGAATTAAGGCATCTCCCAGGTGAGCAGCAACATGGACAGCTTCTGTTTTGTGAATTATGTCCCCCCAAAATTCTCCCTTTCACCCCTTTTAGCCAAAGTTATGACTTGAATTTATAGAACGGAAATAAAATTTAGCTTAGTTTCTTTTAGCAAAATAACTTTCAGGTTCACATAGCCCTGATGCCTAATAATGTGCATCATCATCAGTCGTACCGCGTACTTTTATACGCCAGAGAAAAATCATTCTAAGATTTTCAGACCGATGGAAGGGATTGATCTCGTGCTGTTTACCTCCTATGGGTTTACTCTGAATTGAAGAGAATGAAGGAAAAAACTGTAAGAGACGGTAAAGGAGCTAAACATGATGGGAGAGTAAGAAATCTTTTTAAAACCAGAAAGAGCAAAGAGGGTGAAGTTCCCTACCGCTCTCGGCAAGGGCAGCAGCCACTTCATTAAGAGTAGAGTAGATGTTGCACGCAGCCCATCGGCACTGTGCACCCAGCGCACCAAGAGTCTCCATTAGGACCTGGATTTAAACAAAACAAAAAAAAAAACCTCACAGAGAGCAACGCAAAGAGCAATATACAACTGGGATTTTTATTTGCTATTTATGGGAAAGCTTCCGGGGGGTATCTGAAGTTGGTTTTAAGCAGCATCAGGGTCGTTAGGGAGTTGCACAGAAAACTATTTTGCAACTACTTTTTTTTTTACAATTTAAAATGGATGAAGTAAATAAGAACTTCAAAGTATATTATACATGGAGCATATATATGTGTGTGGGTGTATATGTATTTTTTTATTAACCGCTCGGGGTCTAGTTTAGAGGCTAAGCAGTGAAAAATCCCTGTCTAGAGTTTATTGACGGGGTCTTACAGCTGTCTGCGCTGTAATGTGCGTGCAGCCCACGATCTTGGCCCCAGCCAGTGGCTTCTCTCCCTGAGCTCTCTTCCTCAAAGCCATCAGCGCAGGCATTTCTGAAAGGCAAAATAAAAAAGAAGTCCATCAATGCGATGGAAAGAGGGATGAGCACAGAAGAAACAGCCAGCATCAATTCTCGCCCTGCTCTCTGGTACCCCGATGAACTTGTACAGCTGTGGCAGCTTCAAAAAAAGTAAAACCCTGGAGAGCAGGGATCAAAGAAGTCACGGCACAGCTGAAAAGGACCCAAGAACCCCCTGAGGTCTTTTCCTACTATTTAGGATGTAGCATCACCACATTTTCAAATTTCTACCTGCGAATGCCCAAGTGAGGCTGGAGGAAAACCTGCTTCAGACTGAGGAGGACTTGGGACTCGCTGCTCTCCAATATCCCCCCCGCTACCTAAACACTGCGTTGCCTTTGCTACAGATTTTTGGAGACAATCACGCTAAAACAAAAGTTGTCTGATTTATTTGACGGATCTAATCTTTTCTACTGATTTTAACAAAATGCATTTGACTATAGAGCAGTCCTTCAGTAGTTGGTTGGTTGGAGCTACATGGCTTAACCCTGTAACTCCTTTCCACCCCACAAAACCCCATAAAAGTTTTCCCGTCTCTAACAGGAAGGGTGTCAAGAAATCACCAGTATACTGAACCTCACAAGAAGAGGATTCGGGGGAAGGAAGAAGCCCACAAGACAGCCTAGGACAACGTGGAGCTTGAGGAACACGCCCCATTTACCTTGTTCAGCAATTTCAATCTCTCGGCGCCCAAATTCTGCCTGCTTTATGTTTTTCACACAGAAATCACTGCTGCCTTTGGAGTTCTTCTGCTGCTTGTCTCGGGGGGAGGTCTCATCATCAGAGCTGTCTGTGTAGGAGGCAGCTGGAGGAAGAAAAGGAGGTCAGAGACAGAACAAAATACTCCCTAAAGCCAAACCACCTGCAGTGGAAGGGCGCAGATGATCTGCTGGATGTGTCCATGGGTGTGCTTCTCCATGGGCACGTGCCAACTCCCTCCGTCCTCAGCTGGGATCTCCTCTTCTCCTTACAGTGACCATTTCCCCCCAGTCAGCTTTTACCTGCAATGACCTCCTCACTCTCATCTACCTCTACTGCAACACCACACCAGAGGGAATCAGCTCGAGCACTGCCCGTGTCCCCCATGGGCTCATCTCCTCCTGCTTTGCAGCTCCTCTGTGGCCTTCTCCCATCTCTCTTCCCAAATGTTAAGCCTTTACAGCTCTAAAATAGCCAACAAGAGTGCCTATTAATGTTTTCAGTACTTCCAAAACATTAAGAGTTGTAATTTAAGACAGGATAGATACAAGACCCTATTTCATTTTGAACAACGGCGTGGCGGAGCCTGCTAGTTAATTATTATGCAGTTATGGCGGTATTCCCAGCCCTTGGATTTGCTCAGTTTCCACATTTCTCAATAAGGGCAATGGCCACAAGCTGCCGCTTGGGAGGCTCACATGGGGTGGTAGGAAGAAACTTCTTTATCGGGAGGATAACGCAGCATTGGCACAGGTTGCCCGGCGAGGTGGTGGATCTCCATCCTTGGAGGACTTCAGGAATTGCTTAGAGAGAGTCATGGCTCACCTGATCCTGTGCTGGCAATGTCCTGCTCTGAGTGGGCAGGGGGGCGAGATGACCTTGGTGGTTCCTTCCAACCAACATCTCTGTGCATTTACAGACCGCTCAATCTAGCCCTTGGATTCTCCCCTTCTTTTCTATTATAAATAACAAACACTGGGAGATGTATTTAATATTTTGCCTTTCTGGATCTCCTTTAACCCCTCCTCCCTCTTGCTCTTTTGGTAAGAGAAGAAGAAGAAAGATGGTACCACTTCTCTCCGTAGTAAGGAGCCTACAGGGGATAGCAAACATACGGTCTCACAGAATCAGATTACGCTTCTTGTTTAAGAAGATATATGGGTACCGGGCGTGGACGCGCATGTGAACACAGAATGAGAGTTGCTGTCAATAACTGTCTTCCTTTCCTATCAACGTCCTCCAAACTTTTGGTTAGGCAACTAGCCTGTGGCAGACACATGGAGATTTACTGAAGAGCCCTTCCTGGAGTTAGAAATCCCCCTTCCCATTTATTTTGATTACTAAAATCACACGTAGAGTCCTTTTTCGATTTGAGCCGTGATGAATTAGCCACCACTTCTGCTTCCAGTTTATCAGGATCAGCTGAAGAGACTATTTGTGCCATGTTTTCCTCTGGAATATGCCCCCATGTGGGAGACCAGACCTCTTTCATCTTCTAGGACTGGTATCAGCAGTCAAAGCGACACATAAGGCCTGGAGATGAACTAGAAAGCATCACTCCTCTTTCCCTTCCAGAGACAAAGCTCCTGGAGCACGGGGCTCTTCGTCCAGCTGAGCCCCTCACCACCACCATCACCACTACCACCTCCTCCTCCTCCTCTCTGGCAGGAGCCACAGCTTGGGACCCAACTCAAGAGCATCACCCACATGGTCATCCCCCATTCCTCATGAAATTGCCCTGAAGTTTTACTCCAAGTCTTTATTCTCCAGATCACATGGTACTTCTAAAATGAACGCGAGACCTGGCGTCAAGTTATTTGTTACAGCAGAAGAGGACCACCTTTGTAGAACAGCACTATCCATGACAGCCTCAGTGGAGCTGGGCAATATTCCGCATCGCTAGCAAATGATGTGCGTGTGAGAAGGCATCACATACGATGATGAGCGCTCTTTCTTCCGCGACACCAGAAAAGAACTGGTTAAATCTTTAACCTAGGAAATGTTGCAGAGTCAAACTCAACAGCTACTGGCTTTGGGTGATGTGCTGCTGCGCGCGTGAGCTAGCTTCTCTCCTAGGCACAGGCTCCAAGAGGGAATGATCTACACCAAACACCCAAGGGAGTCGTTCTACCCAACAGTCGGTACAGATTCCCAACTTTCTACCCCAATTCTGTGCCAAAGGAATTTGGTAGCACGAAGGGTGAGCGCTTCTCACACAGGGTCATCGGAAGGACGGCATGGTTGAACCCGTGGTCTTATCACCACCCACCAGTGCTCCCAAAGAGCTGCAGCTTTCCAGAGGCATCCAGACCTCAAGTGAAGATTGATACCGAGAGCCCCTTCAGAGAACTTGGAGTAAAGGCAAACCACCCCTCTACCCGGCATTTCAATAGCTCTGTTAACATTTTCGGGCCAGAAAACCCAAACCAAGGAGTTAAACCCTTCCCCCCCCAGCATGGCCACGGGTTTGTCTTTCCTGCAGCACCCAGCAAGCTGATTACTTTCTCTTCTGGCTCGCGTGAAGCGCTTGAATGATCCCAAGGAAAAAAAGCTTAGCGCTGCCGCTGTCGGTGTGCCAGGCTCCCCAAGGCCCACTCGGGTCTTAATCCGCTTACGGAGGAGAATTATGCATTGCTGAAATTTCTCTGCAAAGACTCCATCCTCAGCGGGGTGCGAAAGGCAAGTCCAACCCTGCAAACAACACGCTGACGGCAATATATTTCTGAATTTGTGTGCACAATCCCACAGCAGCTCTTGAAGGAGCGGGAGCCTGCCTTAATAACAAAAGAGCACCTTATATAATACCAAACTCTTGTACATCAGGGAGTCCAGAAGGATTAATTAGTTAAAGGAGGATTATTTCCTTGAAGACAGCTAATCTGTGCAGAGGTTTCTTTAAATCGATAGATCTTGGTTCTGGGGGCTGAAAGTAATTTTTTTACACCAAAAACCCCGCCTAGATGGTAGCCAGATTTTCATAGGCGGATGGTTTTTATTGTTACACACATATAATAGCCCTATGGTAATTAAACTAATATTGTTAGTGTAGTATAATAGCGTACTAATAAAACAGTAAATTTTGCCCTTGCTTTCCTGTAAAATGAAGAACAAGTACAGAAAGGAAAGGATCCCTAGCACCTGTAATCTAGAAATATCCAATTAACTGATGGGATAGACAGTCTCCTAAATGTCATCTCAAATCACCCACAAGTTGATTAATACAAGCTTCATAGCCGGGGTTGGCATTCCGTAGAGCCGCGTACCATTTTAATATAAATTGTATTATTTCAAAGAGAACGACAGGAAAACAGCAGCAGGTCTCAGGCGCTGTTATCCAGTGGGAAAATGTTGGGGGAAAAAGGAGACACCTGCAGCGCATGTCCTAACCCAGCAAAGACCATGTCAGAGCCTAAATTCAGCAAAGTTTAGCTTTGCTAATATTTTAGATGAGGATCCACTCACATCTGTAGTATTGGCATCGGTACGGGCAAAAAAGGGGCAACCTACCCCTGTTATAGCCCAAGTAAAAAGACAAACCTCGTTTCTTTTCCGCACAACCTTTTGAAAGTTATGAAACAGCATGAGGATGAAGCCAATCGCCTCTAATTAAAGACATTACTGTTCTAATCTCATTTCAGCGCCCACGTAATGCGTATGCGGTGCGTAATACACAACGCTGAGTGCTTCAGTATTCAAAGCGCTGGGCTGATATAAACCAGCTGACCCCCCAAAACCTTTGTTCGAGCAGATAACAATTATCTGAGTTTTGCAGAAAGGGAAAGACCAGTTACCAAAATTTAAGCGATTTGCCCAGCGCAACGCCAAAACATCCCCTCGACTCCAAAGCTGAGCCGTCAGGTCGGTGCCTTTCCCTGGTTTGCAATAGCGGACGCTGTTAACACCACGGCACGTCCTTGGGCGTATAAACCACTCCCAAACAGAGCAGAAAACAATTAATTTCCCCGTTGAGGAAATTACTCGTTTTAAATGAAGCGGAATAACTACAGGAAACGGGCGGCTTATGGCAAGGGTAATGAGATAAGAGACTTTTACTTCTAATTTGAAGAGTCAGATCAGCACGGATCGTGTTAGTATTTTCATTCCTCGTACTTTACAGCAACCAAGTGATAAAGTTTTCATGTTCAGCGGTGTCTCTGCTGGTTTTTCATAGAATCATAGAATAGTTTGGGTTGGAAGGGACCTCTAAAGGCCATCTAGTCCAACCCCCCTGCCGTGGGCAGGGACATCTTCAACTAGAGCAGGTTGCTCAGAGCCCCGTCCAACCTGACCTGGAATGTTTCCAGGGATGGGGCATCCACCACCTCTCTGGGCAACCTGTCCCAGTGCTTCACCACCCTCATTTTTCCCCTTTTTGCTTCTAGCAAAGCCCAGTTAGCGACGCGCTGCATGTTGGAGTACGCTGCTCCTCATTGCAGCTTCACAGATTGTACGTAATTTGGAGACCAGCTGATGATTTTGACAGAACTTTTCCAGTTTTGATGGGCAGGAAGGGCGAGAAACCCGTGGCTGTTTGCAGAGATGCTGTTTCCACACCCAGGTCTCTCTTGCATCACTAAAACGGCACCGGCACCTCCCCATCATTTTGGGCAGAGATGCTGGGACGACTGCCTTCCCACCAAGCACGTCTCAGGAAGGAGTCACTTGGGTTCTGCTCACTTCTTCACTCATGCCCACCACCTCCAAACCTCGGGACCTCCACACACCTCTTGGCTGTTTGCAGAGATGCTGTTTCCACGCCCAGGTCTCTCTTGCATCACTAATACGGCACCGGCACCTCCC